GTTTTTTCTTTAAACCAAAATTATATAGGGTTTAATTTCATTTCAAACAAATTTCATTCATTTCAGTTACATTTTGATGTACCGATCAGTATTTCGACTCACTGACTGGTACACCAAAAATGGTGCACAAATGAATTCAAATTTAAAAAAAATAAATTTTATTTTTGGTTCTCAATTTTAATGTTTGGTATAATTTTTATTTTTTAACTTTTTTATATATTTTTTTAATCCATTAACTATGAAAATTGCACTTTTTTAATCAATTCAAAGTTAATGTTTTGTATAATATTAAATTCAGAATACTGCTATATTTTCTAATATTATCTTAATATTAAAAAAAGAAAAAATTTATGAATGTTTTATAAAATTGGTTATTTTAAATTTGTTTTCAATTTATAAGAATATGATGATTTTAAAAATTAGTTTCTCTTATCATTATTTTAAAATTTGATATTTAATTTATAAAAATATATATTTATAATGATAAATTTAAAATAATACATAAAAATTTTAACATTCGATATGTACAATTTTAGTAACAAAATCGATATATATGTCGATACGGTATTGAGAATTTTGGTTTAAATTATAAAATAAGGTTATGTATGACATTAATGACTCACATCTTTTATTCTTCTTTGAAAAAAAAAAACAAAAACAAAAACCAAAAGACACTGCTTTTATGGTCCTACCTACAGCTAACAGCCCGATGCTACCGTGGGGTGCCAGAAAGTCCGGTCACAAATTATATGTTGAATTTATAGTCCGCTGTAAGGATGGCAACAAGTCCCCACGGGGGTGGGGACCCCCTTCCTATCCCCATCACTGTTAATGGCGGGTACGGGGATCTCAGCGGGGAATTTTGGCGAGGGTCAAAAATTGCCTCCGTCCTCATCCCCGTGGGGAATAATAGGTTCCCGCGGGTATTCGGAGTCCCCACTATTCACGGCTTGTTAATCAAAATTCCAAAAGAAAATAGCAATTTTACAGAATCCTATATAGCAAACAAAGATGATCAAGATCACTCTTTTAAAACAAGCTGGAGGTGAGTGGTGGTGAGTGAGGAGCGTTGCTGACTTGCAGTGATGGGCTGACAACACGGTGCCATGGTGAGAGGCGGGATGAGATGACCCAGCGGCAGCCTTAGAGCTCAGCTGGAGGTGAGCGGCGAGCGTTGCAAGGCAGCAAGGGCCAGGGGTTGTAGTGACGGCGAGGTTGAGAACTGAAGGGAATCACTATAAAGGTCCGTGGAGATGAGGGCAGAGTTTGAGCAAGAGTGTGGCAGAGGATTAGAGGAGAGGAAACTCAAAGACTAGCTGGAGAGATCGACCGAGAGACGGCATGGTGAGTCGGTGTGTCACGCCCCAGAACCCAAATCTGGGGACGTGGCAGACGCCGTGCACTTGTGAGGGGGTCCCACAAATGCACAAGGCTCGGAACTTACTAAGTTCATATCACTAACTCAGATTTAGAAACACAGGTAATATCTAATTTCTTTTCCTTTCCAACTATTTACTTGTCAAAATGTACAAGGATTTATAACTTCATTTATACAGTCGTGACTATAACTAAGGGAGTTCTATACACAAAAATTTCTAAGTCAACTATGGGTGACTAACGGCTTAGCTACAAAAACCTAAGTCCAAAAGTGCCTAGTCGTCTAGCTCGTCACTCCCCCGGGCTTCCCACGCGTCGGGTCTCACTACCTGAAATGGTGGACAAGGAAACAGTGAGATAGAAATATCTCAGTAAGTAAACATGGGGGCCCGACATCAAAGTTTAAAGCATGCCAAATAATCGGTTGAAACATGAACAGAGCGTTTCAAGAACAGAGCGTTTCAAGAACAGAGCGTTTCAATAACAGAGCGTTTCAATAACAGAGCGTTTCAATAACAGATCATTAATGCAAAATAAAATCACGTAGTGGTCTCCTCTATTAGTCATGGCCAGTTCCCACTGGCAGGCACACGAGTACTAGTGTATAATCCCCACTAGTAGGGCCACGAGCGAACCGGTTCTATCACGAACATGTCGACATGTGCTAGCGTTTGTAACCTCCCCCACTAGCGGGGTCACGATTAGCACAACCATATCGGAGACAAAACCAAGCAAGATTTACAGAAACCACGATTCACGATCGTTCTCACTTTCAAAAATAAACCGAAAAATCTCATGTGGGCATGCTCAATTCTAGAAAAGAAGGAAAATAATACAAGTTCAAATTCCCTTTTTAATCATGCTCAAATGCAAATAAATCCATTTAAACCTCGCCACCATCTCAGAAAACAATTAAAATATGCTTAAAAAATTTACGAGTTTTACCATAATTTACTTACCTTAATCACACAGACAAAAGGCTTAATCCAAGTGCTAGGATCACAGGGCAATCAAGGACCTAATCACAATATTCCCAAATTAATATCTATAAGGAAATTTTATTTCTTTATTTATTTCCTATCCAAAATTGGGCATTCACTGGGATTGGGTATTTATCTATGTATATTCAATTACAAGATTACACATATACAATTTTCAAACTCATGGACAAGAATTTGGGAGAATCGGCCTTGACAAAAAAAATGGGCAAGTCTCGGGAATTTCCTCTTTTTCTCTCGGACACACATACAACAGCCAAATTAAGGATTTTCTACACAAATTGACTCAAAACTCATTGCAAGGCTACCGGAAATTAACCCCCCTATTCCCAGCAAATTTTCGGACTATCCAGCCCCCATTCAACCAATTAACCCCACAAGCAACAATTAATCCATCAATTTCCGGAGATTAGAGAAGCCAACTTACCAGAAATGCTGAGCAAGCAAAGCTGGAGCTGGCGGGTATGGGAGGAGCCAGCAGGAAAATTGGGGAACTTCCACGGGCCACTAGCAATTGAAAGAACAACAAGATTAGAGTGACCCAACATAAATCAAGGCTGAAAAGAGGAGTTTCTGGGCTGATTTTACCAGGGAAAAACCGGAGCTTATACCCAGCAACAGCCGGCAGCAGGGAAGGAAGAAGGCAGCAGATCCGGGAAAATTTCTGCAAGAGAGAGAAGTTCTAAGTTCTAGACTTGTTCTTGGGCAAGAGGAGAACAAAAATCATCAAGTTCTCTTACCAATTTTTCAGGTGGGGGCGCTGAAAATGGCTGGTGATGTTCGGCTGCAAAGGAGAAGAAAAACAGAGCAGACGCAAAAATGGCTGGGAAGAAAGAAAGAAAGAAAAAGGAAAAAGGAAGTGAGTCAGCCGGCCTTATCCAAAAAGATTTGAACCCCTTTAAAATTCAAAAATTTGACTATTAGGTCCATAAGAACATTTCCTCACAATTTGGTCCCTAACTCAACTTTAATGCTCTAGGAAATTTTGGGGTATTACACGGTGAGAGGTTGAGAGCTGAAGGGAAGCACCGATTCATAATGATCCATGGAGATGAGGGCAGAGTTTGAGCAAGAGTGTGGCAAGGGACTAAAGGAGAGGAGACTTAGAGACTGACTGGAGAGGAGAGACCGACATCGACCGAGAGAGGAATGAGGAATCCCAATTTCCAAATTCGTAATTTGCAATGGCAAGAAGCGGCAAGCAAAAGAGAGACTGAGTGAAATGTCCTCCTGCTAGGGTTATATGTAAATCGGGCCTGTAAATTGGGTTGTAAATTAGGGCTGGGCAATTAGGTTTAGAATTATTAGATTAACAAAAAAAATTGGGTTGGACTGAGAATTGAGTTTGAAAAAATTGATAAAAGAATGGATTGTGAAATTTAAATTATATTGGTATCGGATTAACTAATTAAATTAGATAAATAAAAATTAATTGATAATATATGTACAAAAAATATATATATAAACAAATTTATATATTTTTTTATTTTATATGGATCCTCACGGTTCCTCACAGGGTGGAGAAAATTCCCTGCGAAATTTCACGGGTAAAAAATTGCCTCCATCCCCGCCCCACGGGTAGAAATATTCTGAGAATTTGCATCCCCATGGCGGGTATCTCCATGGAGCTCCGCGGGTTGCAGAGAAAATTGCCATCCTTAGTCCGCTGCAACTGCCAATACCATAGGGTACTGGCCATAGCCCCAAAGCATACTGATATCATATAATTACGTTTTTTTT